ATTTTATTTTTACTTTTCAGCTGAATATATGGGTCGTGTGTATCTTTTTTTAACACAATGTAGAGCGTTGTATGTATGTATCTAGTGTTTTAGAGATGTTTTATTTTCCAAACACGGTCAGCACATTGTGACCGTGTTCGTACTTAATGTTATTGAGTGTTGGCTATTTGTTATTATTAGGCCTTCCATTATTTTTAATCTTTTTTACATGTGGATGAGGTTATTATATTTGCAATTTCTACTAGTACGTTTCGGGTGTGTTCCTGATCAAAGCAAACTCATAAATAATTACATCGGTCACACTACTACAGGTCTATCCAGACGACTTACGTGACACCTATCCGGCCACAGCTCCATTAGAACTCATTTAAACACACACACACACACAAACCTAAAAGAATCCATCCAGTCCCCAAGAAAAATTAAATAAAAATAAAAGGTGGATTGCCGCCTATATATATATATATATATATATATATATATATATATATATATATAATTCCAAACCGTGGAAAAGAAAACAGGAAGCTTTCCACTATCTTTCCCGAGAAGCTATGGTAATTCACAGATAATAAAGAATAGAAATCTGTGATGAGTCATAAATTCAGTAAATATACACAAATAGAAAAGGTTCTAAGACGAGGATGTGTCTTTTCACCGGATTTATTCAACCAATCCAGTGAGACGATTCTGAGAGAATTAGAAGTCATACCAGGATTCATTATTGGCGGCTACAATTTTAAATACATAAGATATGCGGATGACACAATGTTGGTAGCAGACACAGAGAGGAAACTACAAGAAATCCTAGAGAAGCTAGTGAAAGAAAAGCGAGAAGAAAGGACTAAACATCAATTGCAAAAAGACGTAATGCACGGTTGCAAGCAAAAGAAAGAGCCCAACATGCAAATTACAAGTTGGAGATAGCAAAATCAAACATATACAATTTAAATATCTGGGTAGTGTTTTATCAGAAGACAGAAAGTGCGACACTGAAAAACAAAGACGCATTGAGATAGCGAAATATGTTTTGCAAAAGTTAAGCACAATATTAAGAAACAAAAAATTTTCCTTAGAAACAAAAAAAAAAAATTCCTTAGAAACAAAGAAAAGTGTAATGAACTGTTACATAATATCATTCTTCCAGTGTGAATACTGGACAATCTCCTCAGAGATGAAGATGAGAATTGAAGCAACAGAAATGTGGTTCTACAGAAGAATGGCGAGAATACCATGGACTGAATACGTGAGCAACGAGGAAGTTTTAGAGAAAATGGAAACAAAAATGAAAGTTATACTTAACATCAGAAAGAAACAGTCGAAAGGCACATAATGAGGGCTTGGAAAATTTGATGCACACAGGACAGATTGAAAGCAAGAGGGAGAGGAAAACAATGCATAACCTACTTAGTGAGGTAGAGTAAATAAATGGCGGAACATGTTTAGGAAAGTTTTAAAAAAGCCAAAATATATTAAGACCTACAAAGGACAGGAAATTGTGGAGAACCATGATCGCCTATTCCCTGTACGGACACAGCACAAAGAAGAATGAGGTTGTATAAATCAATGGTGGAGAGCTACAAAGGATAGGAAATTGTGGAGGACCATGATCACCTATGCCCTTTACGGACACAGTACAAAGAAGCATGAGCTTATGTAAATGAACGGCGGAACAAGGTTTAGGAGAGTCAACAAAAAGACAAAATATATTAAGAGCTACAAAGAACAGGAAATTGTGGAGATCCATAATCGCCAACGCCCTGAAGGGATACGGCACATAGAAGAAGAAGAATATTAAGCATTATGGGAATTTATTAAATTCTTTTCTATACAGTTTATATTATTTATTTTTTTTTAAATGATAATATTGCTGTAATCAGGAATGAAAGAAAATGATAATGTCGTCGGAGAAGAAACGAAGAAAAAAAACGATAGATAATAAAATAGACATGCAAATCATGTTAAGAATCGAAGCGAACAATGAGAAGCAAATGTTCTTTCTGTGCTGTTATCCCACCTCTAATTGTTTATGTCTATTATCCACCTTTTAGTCAATTCAAGGATCCTTATGATCTAGAAATAATCCATTGGGATGTTCTCATTTGTACCATCAAGTGTGTCCATGCAATCTTTTAAGGTTTAATGCGTGTCTACATAAATCTCTATATGCGCACGACTGTGATCGTCTGCGTGTGGACCATTGCTTATCTCGACATGTCGCTCACGCTTCCTAATTTCTTCCGACGCCACATTGTCAGACCCAGGTCTTCTCGAACCTAGACTATCTAATTTACATTACTAACCAATCAGTCATCGCTATTGTTATAAGAACGAAGTGCTTTGCATTTTGCGGTTGGTCGGTTATCTCCGCTCATTGACAACCGTCGAGTTAAAGGGCCTTTCGTTTGAAAAGCCGATTGCCAGCTTTTCTTTGCAGGTCGTTTGCTTGGTTGGTTTGGCTCTTCGCTTCGATGGTTACAAATGAGGGAAAGACGTACTTTTCTTTTCACTTTTTTTTTAATAGAATTTACCTTCGGATTTCAGGATCTTATCAGCACTTGGGAAATATTAATCCGTTTATTTTTGTTCTGTCTTTCGAGGCCGTTTTTATTTTTTATGGCTGTTGGCTTGACGTTTGCATAAATTAATAACTTCTGTGGATTGCAAGCAGTTTTGAGTTTTCAGTTAAGAATAAGACATTTAAAGTAACATCTGATACAACAGTACACATCTCGAGAAAGAAATGACACAAATCTATTCAATCTTCAGTTAATACTTTTTTTCTTGCTTTTTTTCCCCCACTCGTTCCTTTGTGTAAATGTTATTTTTTTACAGCAACGAACCGAGAAAAAAAATGCCTGAATTTACGCTGTACCTCTCCTGGAAACAAAAACAAGCAAAATCAAATAAAAACAGCCAGTCTGTCAACAAATATTTTCTTTTCGCCTAATAAACTTTTAACTTTAAAAATAAGTCTGGGATATCTCTACACAAAGGCGATATAGATGGCAGACACAGAAAGTGAATTACAGGATCTCTTAGACAATGTAGTAAAGGAAAGCGAGAAGAAAGGACTATCAATTGCAAGAAGACAGAATATGGGTTTATCAGAAATAGAAAAAAACCCAAGATGTGAACTACGATCTAGGAATGTGAAAATCAAACAAATACAGAAATTTAAATATCTGAGAAGTGTTTTAACAGAGAATGGAAAATGTGATGACGAAATCCGTAGGCACATTGGAATAACAAAAGATGCTTTCCAAAAACTCAATAAAGGATTAAGAAATAGGAAAATTTCGTTATAAACAAAGAAAACAGTGCACAACTGCTACATAATATGAATCATCCTATATGGCAGAAAATGCTGGACAATTTCTTCACAGGAAAAAACAAGAGACTTGAGGCAACAGCAATGTGGTTGTACAGAAGGATGCCGATAATACCATGGACGAAGAGTTTAACGCGGAAGTTTTAAGGAAAATGGAAACAAAACGATCACTTAGAGCCAGAAAGAGACTTGAAATTTCTGGAACACATCATCAGGAAAGAAGGCTCGGAAAATTCGATTCTCACAAGACGTACCGAAAGCAAAAGTAACAGAGGGTAACAATAAGTAACTTGTGTAAGTGGATGGCGGAACAGAGTTGGAAGGGATAGTAAAAAGACAAACATTGCCAAGCGCTACAATGAATTGGAAGTTGTAGAGAGTCATAATCGCCTATATCATGACAGGACAAGGGACACGGAAGATGAATATTCAGTAGTCGGATTATAAAAGTGAAAGCTTTTTTTTTTCTTCCGAAAGTTCAAGGTTGGATGAAAAAGATATTACTTTAAACAGAAATAGTCACTGTATGCCATCTTGTGTATGATGTTCAATTAATGGAGAAGCGTTGAATTTTTCAATGACAAGTAATCAGATTATGTTGGATAATAAATATTTGTTGTTTAAAGTAAATGCTTTTTTTCATCAACAGTCTATGAACTTATTGATGAACTTATACATTTATTTTGATTTCTCTCGGTCAAAGAAAAAAATATTTCAGAGTTAAAAGCTACTGTCATTTGTCGGCCTTACTATTTTTTCTCAAAATTCGAAAATTACCTTATTTTCTGTCTGAATACTTTGGCTTTTAATTAATTACATTTGGAATAATTTCCTCATCTTTGTTATTATTACCCGGATCAACCGAAAATATATATACTAACATTGCGTTTTATATTGTAGAATATATAATTTACGAGACGCTATCCAAAAGTTCGGAGTACCTGACCATGAAAAAAATTACCTATCACTTAGATTCTTTAGTTGTATTCGAAGTTGTCTCCTTGGGCATATACACAGGGTGATTGAAAAGTAACTCCCTATTTTATATATGAGTGGCCAGCCAGGAGTCCAGACTTTAACACCCTGTGACGTTTTTCTTTGGAGTTGAAAAGAGATGAGCGAGCCCAGCATGTGGCACCTCTGAAAGGTGCCTGCAAACCATACTGCGGATTGACTGAAGCCTTGTGGGTGAAACTGGTTAGACGGAACGATTAATAAGCTGTCGATTGGTCTTGTTCAATAATTGATCACGCCAGCTTATAGCTCTCTCCCCCAGAAACTTTTAAGATCTATTCAGCATAGTTGTATAAACAATAAGACAAATGTCTGCAATATGGTAGACATTATGTGATCGGAAACGAGCAAAAGGAGAAAAAAAGGAAGATTATTGCCGAGGAATTAATCATTCTTCGACTGAACATTTCAGTTGGAATTAGACGACACCAAAATTTCCCACGTCAATAATACCCAAAAATAAATAAATGAAAATTGCCAGAGCGCTAACTTACGTTATATGTACATAAATTATTTGTAAATTTCCAGTTTTTATTCTATCCATTAGAATTACCTTGACCATTTACAAGTATTTCTTTATCGCAGTTGAACCACTTGCAACCAACAGTCCAAGAGTCCAGACTGTTCTCCCAGTTCCCATATGATATTGCGTTAGGCCACATCACGTTGAAACACCGGTACGATCACCGAAGTTAAGCAACGTCGAACCTGGTCAGTATCAAGATGAGTGACCGCTTGGGAATACCAGGTTCTGTAAGCTTGGTTATGTGGTGGTGTAATGGATAATGGCTTGGAATTGCTAATCGGTGAGCCGAGTTTCAATTCTAGTTTGGTTCATTATATTCAATAACCTTGGGAAAGGTATGAATCCGCCTCTCTAATCGCCTAACTATGGATTAATTAGTAAAACTTGTATCACTAAACCATTACTATCTCCAAATCTATATAAATAAATGCGAATATCAGTATGTGTTGTATCTCGTGTTTTCGAGTTAAACAAGGGGAAATAAATAAAGAAGACAAAATTCGTGGATAAGTAATAAAATAGAAGGTTGACTACACGAAAGTACACTTAGCAATGGACAAAATGCTAACTCTCCTATAAACGGGCAATTCCATTCATTTGTGCCATATACAGTGGGGGGAAATAAATATTCGTACACATGAAAAATTGTATTTTTATAAATGTAAAAGCCTTAACTAAAACAAATTTAGATACATTTTATGTGTAAAGATACATTTTATTAAAAAATAGTAATAAACTTAATTAATTCTTATTCTAACAGAAATTAAGGCATTTTTTTCATTTTAACTGATGAAAAAAGTATTCGTACAAAACAAAAAAGCATATTAACTTAATTTAATACTTTGTGGAATATCATTTATTGAGTTCAACAGCAACTAGTCTATTTCCTGTACGTCTCAACTAATGATTTGTACCCATTGAGTGGTATTTTGTCCCATTCCTCTTGGCATATTGTCTTCAAATTCTTGATATTTGTTGGTGCTCTTTTTCCAATTTGAATTTTCAAATATCGCCATAAATTCTCGATTAGGTTCAAGTCTGGGGACTGACTTGGCCATTACAAGACATCAACGTTACTTTCAGCTAACCATTTCCTTGTAGATCTAGCGGTATGCTTAGGGTCATTATCCAGTTGGAAAACCCAATCAGGAGGTAGCCGAAGTCTCTCAACAGAACGCATTAAATTGTCTTATAGGATTTTCTGGTATCTTTCGGCATTCTATTATTGATATTCTGCCAACACCTTTTGCAGAAAAACAGCCCCAGATCATGATACTGCCACCACCAAACTTTACAGTTGGTAACGTGTTCTTTGGTAAGTAGTCTTCACCGTCCTTCCTCCACACATGATTTCTATAATTATGACCAAGCAACTCTATTTTAGTTTCATTTGTCCATAGTACTTTTTCCCAAAACGAATATTCTTTATCCTTATGCTCTCTAACGAATTTTAGCCTAGTATCTCTGTGTCGTTTCAAGAGGAGTGGAGTCTTCCTTGGGATGCGTGATTTCAGACTGTTTTTGTGTAGTTCATTACTTATTGTACGTTTGGTTACTTTAATCCATAATGTACGCAGATCTTCCTGCAGCTCTTCTCGGGTAACCTGTGGATTTTGTTGGACCTAGCGTCCTAATATCCTTGCTGATCTTCCTCGTTTCCTCGGAGCACCTGTTCGTCTTTGGTTTTCGACGCTGTTACGAGTTTTAAACCTTGCAATGAACGAAGCAATTGTAGTAAAAGGATTGTTAGAAATCGTTCTGTAACTGTTCCCATCTTTCCAAAGACAAAATGTGTTGTTTTTGTGAAATAGTCAATTCTTTACCTTTAGGCATTATTAGAACCTTCTCGTAAGACTAGAAATTGCAGAATGCTCTGATAATGGCTAATAGCATTAACTATAATTACTGATAACATTACTGGAACATTCTGGAATATACTTTTTTCACTTTTAATCGATTATTTTATTCTAATAATTGATTTGTACGAATACTTTTTTCACCAGTTAGAATTAAAAAATGCATTAATTTCTGTTAGAATAAGAATTAATTAAGTTTATCATTATTTTTTAATATTATGTGTTTTTATACATAAAATGTGCCGAGATTTGTTTTGATTTAAGGCTTTTACATTTATAAAAATACAATTTTTCAAGTGTACGAATATTTATTTCCGCATTGGATTTTTAAGTTTTCATTACTGCGATTGTTTTCGGCTAATTTTTACGTGATTCACTTACACGCATATAACTTTGGGAAAGATATGAACCACCTCTTCCGAGCACCTGATCCGTTCCTCTCACATATCCGGGCTGAAAGCTGGGGATATTCATTCATGCATAGCGTGTCTTGGGCAAGTAGACCTGGCGAGAGACATCCTTCTCTAGGTCAAACCAGAGATGACGTCCCCCAACTTGAAATCTCGCCATAGTCTCGGATACGTGGCTGCTGATTCCATCAGCGGGTAACCCTCCGACCTAGGCGTTGATTTCCGCTTAAGGATCCTTCTATCAAGCGTTGCCGTGTCATCACCGTACTAGCTGCATGCAGAGTTATGCAACTACCTCATTACCTTTGATAGTTCCTATTTTAAAAGCTGCTGGGTTTAACGCCCTCACTAGAAAAGTCTGGTGAAGGAACCGGTTCGATCTCCGATGATCTGGCTGAAAAGAACGGATGAGGGTTTAGTGAATTGTAAGTTTTAACTGAATAACCCAATCAACTGGGTTGTTTAAAGTGGTCAGTTGCCTGTGCCCTACAATACACACTCACTCGTATCCCGTACTGGTGTACTGTGTGTCACATGTCAGATGATGCTACAATCTTTTTGCGTGGAGGGGGGGGGGCATAATTTTCTAGATCCTAGCTACATGACCGCCGTTGGCTACCATAAGAAGCTCATCCACCCTGTGTCAACATTTTTCGCAGGCTGCTTTGGACTCGGGGTTTTCCTTCTTCTAGACTTGTTGCAGTCATATCGCATTAAAACACTGGTTCTGGTCCAATCACCGAAGTAACGTTTAGCCTGGTCAGTACTTACATGAGTAACCGCTTTGGAATACTAGGAGTGGTAAACATGGATGTTTGGGTGGTGTAATGGTAAATGTGCAGAATTGGAAATTGTAGTTCATTACATTCAATTACGCGCAAATAATCTTTGTAAATGTTATGAATTCTCTTCCTAATCATCGGTAAATATCAGATCAAATTGGGCTATATATATATATATATAATTTTTATACCATTATATTTTATACCATTTTATTCTTTGTTGAATTGAAATCATATCAAAATTTATATATATATATATATATATGTTAAGAAATGGACAAGGTCCGACAATTTATTTAGTAAAGACATTTTATGTTTAACGTTGTTATTTTATAGATACAAGTATTTAAAGCAAATGTCTGTTTATGATAAACAGTGTTAAATAACATTTCCCGGCCTGAATGTCCGAAATTTTCATAGAAAATATTCGTTATGGTAGACAAGGATTCGAACCTGCATCCTATATAAACCGTCATTTCCGAATCTGACATGCCTTACCTTTATTAACCTTATGGTAAGACAAGGTTTTATGTTTATAAACTACAATCTTCCATGAATCTTTACATTCGATACCAGAGCAGTTATCGAATGTAAAGAAATGGAAGATTCATATGTATAAACAGTAAATGGACCTTGTCTACTATAAGGTTCAGGAGAGGTAAGGCATCCGTATAGGATGCAGGTTCGAATTTGTCAATGAACGAATATTTTCATGAAAATTTCTCGACATTCAGGCCGGTAAATGTTATTTAATACTGTTTATCATAAACAGAGCATTTGCTTAAATACTTGTATCTATAAAATAACAACGTTAAACATAAAATGTCTTTAATAAATAAATTGTCGGACCTTGTCCATTTTTTTAACATATGACGTCATTTGTTTACATTCGATACGCCAGAGCAGTTATGAATGTACGAGATTCATGGAAGATTGTAGTTTATAAACAGTAAATTCGACCTTGTCTACCATAAGGTTCATTGTGGCCCCAGAGGTAAGGCACGTCAGCGTAAATGACGGTTCCGTATAGGATGCAGGTTCGAATCCTGTCAATGAACGAATATTTTCTATGAAAATTTCGGACATTCAGGCCGGTAAATGTTATTTAATACTGTTTATCATAAACAGAGCATTTGCTTAAATACTTGTATCTATAAAATAACAACGTTAAACATAAAATGTCTTTAATAAATATATATATATGAAGAAATATAGTTTTAAGGTATGCTATATTTATGCGATAAAGTGCTCAGTATCAGAGGTAGAGCGTACGTAAATATAAAAGTGAACATTGAAGTCAACACTCAGAGGCGACAGGCTGTTTCATGCTAGACGCAATCGTCAGGCCACCTGATATTTATATATAATCTTAAATAATATATATATATATATATATATATATATGTTTGTGTGTGTGTGCATATATGTGTGTGTGTATGAGCGAAAAAGCAAATTCCAGTAAGGTATAAAAATAGGCGGCGAAGTGTATGAATGAGTGTATACATACGCGCGCGTGTATGTGTATACGCAAATGAATTTGTGCAAGCTTGAAGCTTTTGTTTTTCCAAAACTAATATCGTATCATTTTACAAATCATTACCAATATTTTATGTTATGTCATACGCTCACATTATTTTTCCTTATTTGACATTTCACAGACGCTGAAATGTTTAATATACAACCTCTTCTCACTTAACGACCGCGTCCGTTCTAACGAGTTGCTCGCTAAACGCGCTGGTCGCAACTGACTACTATTTCAGGAATACTACACGTGTAAAAGATTTGTGCCAACCAGCTTTAGATAGCTTTAATATCACTTTTGCAGTATTTGTAACATAACTGATTTATTTCTAAATATTTATACAGTACAGTAGTGCAATGTGAAGTAAACGTAATAAAGAAATTAAAAACAGCTATATATTCTGCACATTAAATCTTACTTATTATAAAACGCAGATTGTGTGTGTGTGTGTGTGTGTGTGTGTACGTTTATATATTGGATCGGATTTCCTACATTTTTCAACCGATTTCAACAAAACTTCACAGGACTATGTAAAATTACCTTGCGGTGGTTCTGACAGCGCCAAAAATTGGAAAAAAAACACAATTGTTTTTGCACAAAATCAATTTGAAAACACGATTAAGAGGCACCGCTTTTGCAGAATGAAAGGGGGGCAACTCATA